ATCTATTTTACAGTACAAGGTATTTGGGTTGTTTCAGCTTGGTGCTGTTATGAATAAAGCTGCTATGGACACTCTTGCACATGTCCATTGATGAATACATACACACAGTTTTGTGGAGTATATACCTAAGAGAAAATATCAAGCAATGGGTATGGTATGAATGTGTTTAGCTTTAATAAACACTGCCAAAAAGTTTCCCAAACTGTTATAATGATTTATATCTTCACCAACAGATAGAAGACTTCCCATTGTTTCAAACCTTTGCCAATATTTGGTATTTTTGTTTTTTTCATTTTGGCTTTTCTGCTAGGCATGTGGTAGTGTCACATTGTGGGTGTTATGGTTTTGTTTTTATTTTTTTGCATTTCCCTGATGGCTAATGAAGTCAAGAACATCTTCATGTGTTTATTGGCCATTTGGATATTCTCTTTTGTAATGTGAATAATCTTTTGCCTTATCTTTGCTGTTGAATTATCTGCCTCCTTATTGAGTTGTAAGAGTTTTTTATGTATTCTGAGCATGAGTCCTTTGTGGAATATATGTATTAGGAATTTTTTCTTCCAGTGTGTGGCTTGTCTCTTTACACTCCTTAAGATGCATTTTAATGAAATGAACATATGCTATTAACATTAATGTGGTCCACTTTATCATTTTTTCTTTTATATTTAGTACTTTTTGTGTCCTGTTTAAGAAATTTTTATCTACTCTTAAGTATTTCTTACTGAAAGCTTTAGTGTTTTACTTCTCACATTGGGATCAGTAATTCATTTGGAAATGCTTTTAGTGTATGGTGAGCGAGAGATTATTTTTTCCTGTTTTGTCATCAACAGACTTGAAGACATTGAAAATACCATTCTTTCCTCACAGCATTACAATGTCACTTTTGTCATAAATTGAAGTGTCACCTAGTAGTTGATATTACCTTGAGCTCGATTGTACTAAATAAGTGGTTAATCTCTCGGCATAGATAGGGATGACTAAGAAAGGCCAGGACAGGATCAGAGGTCCAGAAAATTTCCAGATCCACTGCCCCACAAACTAGGTTTAAATGTGCTTCTCCATATAAAATGACTTTAACAGAATCATAGTATGAACACACAGTTCACAAACTAGACAGTTAACAAGCCATCCTTTCCATTAGAAGATGGATATGGAGTGGAACCATATGAAATGGAATTTAAAAAAATGCAATACCCACTTTTAAGTTGAATTCAGTTTCTCACAAGATTAAACTGAAAATTACTATTACTTTGTCTAATGCCAGTTCTCCTCACAATACGGGAAAGCCTTTTCTGGAAACAGGCTTGGCTCGTGTCCATTTCTTGGAGTCATCCATCACATCTCCCTCAGCTGAGTGGAGAATTAGACACACAGAGACTTTACCTTCTTGCTTATTTTAATTACTTTGTGAAGGGTCTTTTGTTTGTGTCCAGCTGCTTCTGACAACCTGAAAGATTTCAGGATTTCTAAGATTCATCTGGGATTGGGATGCTGTTAAGGCAGGGTCTTCTTAGATAGATGGGCACTCCGATTCCAAGGGCCCCATACAGCTTAAACTATGGAGGATATCAACTTTCTGGCCCTCATTCATCCAGAGAATACAGCTTCCTTCTGTCAGCAAAATCCAGGGTGGTAGATGAAGTGGAATCCTTCCTCTTAGGCACCTTTAAGTTTAGGGAGTTTCCCTCCACTTCTGCTTCTCTTTCCTGGGGCTGACCTGAAAGTCTCAGCTGCCATGAATAAGAAACATTGTTCAGCAAACACATCTTATTGGAGCAACAGCTTCTTTGTAAGTTTCCATTTGGTCATCAAGTGCAGTTGAGCACCCGCTGTACACTAGCACTTAAGATCTATTCCCAGTCCTTGAGAAGCTTAGTTTACCTTTAACAGTTTCTACTTAAACTTGGGGCCTGACAAACTTTACTAGTGATTGATCACCTGACCCCAAGTCTTGCTCATTCCTGTTCCCCACCTTGTTAGCTGAGTATTTTGTGATGAATCTCGTCTGCTTGCTGTATATTATACCCTACTTTGAACCTCAGTTTTTACTTGAGTGCATCCATGTCCAATTAACCAGGAAGACTCCAACTTTGCTAAAGTCTAAGGTCTTAAGTATCTTGAGACGCTTCTCTGCTGCCCCATGATCTGCCATTGACCTCAGGACAAAGCAGTCCACTTGTCAAGAGAGAATTAATCTTTTTTGGGTAATGCCATCCATGTGTTGGGGTCCTGTGTTTTCCCTGCGCCCAATGACAAAAGATATAACAATGACATGGAGTTAGGACTGTGGCATAATGTCCCTACTATTGCCTTATTTTCATCAGGAAAGAGTCCCAGTCACTACAAGCTTCTACCACCCTAGATGTTGCATAACTTTGATCTTGTCAACGCATTTGCTCTGTGTGTACACAGAATGGCTCTTTATTTTAGGCTCTTTAATGTCTGTTCTTTTAAAATTGCTTTTTAAAGAGACTCTTCTTCTTTGTGTTTATGTTTCTTAATCTCTGGACATTTAAAAACCATTGCATATAATTGAGTCACAGACTTTCAGAACCCAGAGATATTAGATGCCATTAGTTCAGTCTTCTCATGACTAAATAATATTGTGGGATTTCTCTCTCTAGAGATATTTTTAAACTTCTCTTACAATCACAGGAAGTCAGAGCTGGAAGACAACTAAGGACTGTGCTAGGCCAGCAATGTCATTCTACAGACAAGGACCCTGAGGAAGCAAGTGATTGGACCACACAGTCAGTGGTGGGATAGGGTGCTGGATCTCCAGACCTTCAGTCTGGGGCTCTTTGTTTGTGTAGACAAGGCTGCTTCTCACTTCCAATTTGACTTCCTAATTGTAACCCAAAGATAGCCAGGAGCTTCTCGTGGAATCTGTGAATGTGCTTGTCATGAAACACTAATCACTGCCAGGATTTAAGGTAACATGGAAATAGCCAAAATAACTTTTGGGCAAGAGCCATGAATCCCAATGGGAGTGGGCTGGGATAAGTAGCTATGTTAATAAAACTTTTCCACATCAATATATAAATACCTTTAAGAAGTTACATGCAGAGGGAGTTTAGTTTTAGTACGCATAGACCAGTTTGCATCCCTTTCAGAAATAAGGGGGGTGGAAGTTACGTCTTTTGAATTATATTGATCACTAAAAAAAGGAAAACCATCTGCAGGAGGGTCCTTTTCCTTGTGGACTGCTGTCCTGTATAATATTTCTGATGAAGCTTGAACTTCCAGTGCAGCAGAAGAGAAGAGCCGAGTGTGTCTTTTCCCTTTGTCTTAGCTGCATTCAGAAAATTCCACCTCTGTCCCTTTCCTCTGCTAGTGCCTCTGGTCCCAGTTCCTTCCTGAGGCTTGTTGCTCCAGGTACTCTATAGCCAGGCAGCAGTGGCTGTGGGTCTGGGACCTGTGGGAACCTCCTGTGATAGAGTACAGAGCACCCTTAAGGAGAAAGGAAACATTAGAGTCAGCTCTTCGGGGCTCCCCTTCTTCTGCCCATCTTTCTCCTACGATGGACTGAGCTAAGCTAAGCAAAGAGGCCCAGAGGTGTGCCTTGTAAACTTCAGAAATTATCCTATTCACCATATTCAGGGTTTATTCCTGCCTGCTTTGTGTTACCTCCACCCTACCCTCTGCCCCTGCAGCAGGGATGTTTGTGACTGAATGAGGAGAGTGGAGTATACCGGAGTGTGTTTATAGCCTCTTCTGGGCTTGTGTCTGGGGACTGGAAGGAGCTGGATGGGAACCTTGTAGAAGTTTTCAGTCTATTGAGGAGATGATAATTGCCTATCTGATGGCCTCTGGTATAAAGTGGTGCCAGAGCTGAGAGTTTCTTCAGTACCTCTCAGATGCCAGCACCAGCCCTAGGCTAGTGCATCAGTGAGAAGAAGCAGGATCTGAGCTGAGATGATGATTCTGTCATCTCTGGAGAGGCCATTGTCCCCAAGAGGCATTCATGTGCTGATTTGTAAAACACTGTTGAGTTTCTCTTTGCCTGTCTAGGGATTTTTATGCAAAGGGCTCTCCATTCCTAGAATTCACTGAAAGCAAATCCCTGACATGCCCTCTGCAACTCATCATGTTAATAGGAAAGAAGGGCTGGAGGCCAGCCAGGGTACCCCCTCCCTTAGCCATGTCAGGATGGCTATATTGATTGCAGAGTCTGACGGAAGATTATGGCGATGGATGGGGATTCACTTGGCTTTTGCAAGGCCACTGACAGTGGAGAAATAAAGCTCTGTCTCTGGAGCCTGTCTTCTTAACTGGGCTTCCAGCCAGATCTTCCTTGCCATCCCCCTACTCCCCCTAGTCCATCATGCACACCCAACCAGATCTGGCTTTCCTGAACACCTCTTAGTCACAATCCCCTTAGTCACAATTGCTTAGAACCCCTTAACAGGTCCTCTTGGCCTGGACTCAGGGCCCTATAGGATCAGGTATACATCTACAAACAATTGCCTTTACAACCTTGTCACTGATAAGACTGCCCTCTGCAATGAAACCTACTCTCTAGTCAGATGGGGGTCTTCTCATAGTCCCCTAAAAATTCCAGGCTTATTTGTACTTCCATGCTTTTCCCCAGGTTGTTCCCCATGTCTTCTGAGCTCACCTCTATCTGCTCAAATTCAGTTCCTCCTTGAGTACTTGGCTTAAGCCATACCCCCCTAACCATTGGCCCACATGGCTTTGCCCCTCCCTCCCCTCCCCTGTCCTCCCCTCCTTCTCTCTTTCCTTCTTTCTTTCGAGATGAGGTCTTACTTTGTCAACCAGGCTGGAGTGCAGTGGTGCAATCTCAGCTAACTGCAGCTTTGAGCTCTGCTTAGGTGATCCTCCTGCCTCTGCCCTGCAAGTAGCTAGGACTATAGGTGTCTGCCACCATGCCTAATTTTTGGCACTTTTTGTAGAGGTGGGGTTTTGCCCTGTTGCCAAGGCTGGTCTTGAACTTCTGAGCTCCAGTAATCTGCTAGCCTTTGGCCTCCCAAAGTGCTGGGATTACAGGCATGAGCCACTGCACCTGGCTGGCTTTTTGTTGTTGTTTTATTTTAACTTTCCATCTCTTTTAAAGTAAACTGGTTACATTTTGCCTTCTCTGCTCTCCTAGCTGTGCAGTAGCCCATTTCTCTGATGTGTAATACCTGAGAGCAGGAGCTATTAGACCCTCCAGATCAGGGCAAAACGTGTGAGATGAGTACATGCTACTTCTTGGGTAAAGGAGGAGAGATGGATGCCTGAAATAATGAACTATCTCTGGACAAGTTAGCAGCATTTCCTTCTTAACCTGGTGTTCATGTACCCATTTTAAAGTGAGGACTAGAGGTATTGATGGGAATGGGGGGAGATGGAAGCAGGATTCTCAGAAGAGTTTCCAGCATAGCAGTGATGATGAACAGGATTGAGAGGGAGCAGGTGCTAGGTGAAAAAACAAAAACAAAACCCAAAGAAAACAAGAAATTGAATTTGACATACCTTAGTGAAGGAAGGTGGGTATACTGGATTGAAAAAATATTCCTTGAAAGTTTATATCTACCTGAAATCTTAGAATGTGACCTTACTTGGAAATAGGGTCTTTGAAGATATAATTAGTTAAGATGAAGTCATACCACATTAGGGTGGCCCTTAAATCCAAAGACTGGTGTTCTTATAAGAGGAACAGAGGATACACAGAAAAGCAGACCATGTCTTCCATGCTGGCTTAGATGGAGGGGCCCATCCTGCATTTAAGGTAGCCTCAGCATGATGGGAAGCCATGGGCTGAGCCATCCCTGCAATGTGCAGGAGGGAGAAATCACATCAGTTGGGATCTCTTGAATGTTCACATTTTTTGCAGAAGGAATCTGGCTAGATTGATCATCAGGAATAGAAGAGGTCTGTGTAGGGAAAAGGGTGATAGAAGAGGTCTGTGCAGGGAGAAGGGTGATGGGGAGTGTGCTGTGGTGGTTTTGTGAAAAAGTGGATGGGATGTGGGTTTGCTTTGATGTGTGTGAAAAGAGAAGAGAAGGAAACGAAGTGTAAAATGACCTTGTTGGTTTTTGCAATGAATGATATGTAAGAAAATGGCCTTTTTTTTTTTTTTTTTTTTTTTTCTGGGCCACCAGGTAGCTCTGGCTATCTGTCAGATGGAATCACATCAGGCAGAGGGTTGGGGAAGAGACATCTTGGCCTTTGGAGGATTTCCTTAGGCACCACTTCAGCACCTTCCTTCTCCTTCTCAGTGCAGGAGGTGGTGAGGGATAATGGGATGCATACTGGGAGCCTTCCCTGGATCCCTGCATTGTCAGTGCCCTGTCTGAGCAAGTCTGTCCTATTCTTGGATCCTTGGTCTTCTCCCTTGTACAGGAGGCTTACAAAGTTTATGTGAGCATTGAGAAAAAATATTTTGTAAATCTTAAAATGCTGTATAATATTGTATCCTATAATTCTCCAAGGACTCAGAAGGAAGATAGGTGCAGTCTTAATCCTTCGGGGTTTGATGGAGTCTCCCATACTGCTTGAAAAGTAATGCAGCTTTCAGTTTGAGATGACGAGGTTCTAGAGATGGATGGTGGTGTTGGTGCACAACAATGTGAAAATGTGAATGTACTGAATGCCACTGAACTGTACACTTAAAAAGGGATAAAATGGTCTTTTTTATGTGTTACATATTTTATCATGATAGAGAAGTCACAGCTCCGTCCCTCCCCCCAAAAAGTAGTGTACATACAGGACAAAGCTGATACGTGAGTAAATTTGCCAGTCCAGATATTACAGAGCAATTATTAACATTGTCAAGCTGAAAACAGATTTGCATCTGTAGTACAGAAACATGTGGTGAATACTTGTATGTGCAATCACTGTGAGGAATTAGGACTGTTTACCAGGCCTCAACACAATGTATTATTGTTAGTGCTTTTGGATGACTCTAGAAATTCTTTTGGGAGGGAATTGTCACAATTCTATTGTGACAAATTATGTCACAATAATTGAAACAGTAATGAACTATAAACTGAACTTAATAACATGATCTGAAATCACTTCTCCCCCTCTACCCCTGCCTTCAAGGTTATTCTCCTGCCTTAGCACTACTTTTTCTTTGTTCCCCAATTTACTCCTTATCCCAGTAGGTCAAGGTGAAAACAGATTTGCATCTATAGTACAGAAACATGTGAATCTCATGTAGTCTCCTGTATGTTACTAAAAATGCCTCATTATTATGGACACTGGTCCTGTGCCGAGACTTTGCTCCCAGAAAGAAGCAAGAACTGTTTGCACATCTCCCAGATCATTTGTTCTCCAGGCCTGTGGGCATCCACATCAAAGGCTAACAGGATCACCCCCAATTTTCTCCATTCTCTAGCTCCAAGCTGCTTTTGATCAGAACCCTAAGTGTGAATACTGCTTGAGGGTCTGTGCCTTTCTGAGGAGTCCCCATAGGCTCAGAAAGTAACTCAGAAAGGGGTTGAAAGATAGATGCCTTTTGGATTGAGAAATTGTTTTACTCGATTACAAGATAAAGTACTTATGGTTTGGGGTTTAAATACTGGGACATGTATTATACCTCCTCCAAATCATCCCTGAAAATGAAGCAGAAGAACAATGATCAATGTAGAACTGCCTATGGCGCCAGATGATTTTGAGTCACATACAGAACCAGGCACAGCTCTCAAATATGATGGCTACCTGTATTTCTAACAGGCAATCAGTTTCCTAAGAGGGGGCTGGGGGCAGGAAAAATTCAGTGCCTTCATTGTGGGCCGCTTCTTGTTGAATTTTGCTCCACAGGTTAGAAGACAGGTCCCAGTCTTCTTAATGAGGCATTGAAAGTCTAGGTGGAATAGATGTTTGCTGGAGCCTGTGGAGATTATAAAACAAAGAGCTCACTGCCTTATGTGGTCAGGAGAGGCAGGAGTGACAGCGAGTGTGAAGGTGTGGGAGTTGGAAGGAGCTTGGAACTCAACTTCTTTTGGCCTCTCAACTTGAGATTCACAAAGAAAAAAAGCGATGTCTCCTTGCTGAAAGGTAAGAGTTTAAAATTTATCTGAACTCTGAATATTATAGTTTGTTTTGGCTCCAGTGGCGTATTTCCATAATGTATTTAAATCACAAATCCGTGCTCTGAGGCAAAGTCAAAACACCTGGTCTTAGTCCTGAGGTGACGCCCTTAGAGCTGGAATAGTGCTTAGTGCCCTGTGCAGGGACCATCATCATATTTATATACAATGGAGAAGATTGTCTAGAACCTAGAAGGGTACTAATTACAGTCTTATCATTTTTCTCCTTAGCAAAATGGAAGCTCCTCCTTGCACAGTGCGCCCCTTCCTCACTGTAGTTTATTCCAAGTGAGAAGAGTAAACATGACTTCCAAATGCCATCTAACGATATATGCATATCTAAAGGACACAAGGATGACTGAATGCATCTTCATGTGTAGGAAGTGAAGTGTCTGTTGACATTAAGTACTTCTTCATGAGAGAGAGGAGGCCCATGATGGAGATGATACCAGTACCTCCTTCTAGCACTCTAAATTCCCAGTGTTTACTACTGCTGTCTCTGAAACTGCAGCATCCTCACCAGGACCACACAGGGAACAAATGCAAGACAACTGAAGTCCCTTTAGCTGTATTCACAACACTTCATAGATAAGATGAAATTTGAATATGAGAAGGATTTTTTTTTTCTTTTAAAGAGCAATTTGTTCTCCTGGTATCCTAGTAGGAGTGCCTGAAAGTGCACATTGACTGGAAGGTTTCATGTGAGCATCAGCCCTGGGGTCCAGAAGACAGTCTTGGCAAGCCTGGAGAGTGAGGATGTTGAACAGGCAATGGAAGCATCCATGAAAGGCAGGCAGCTGCTGCAAGAGTTTCCAACAGATAACTGGTCACTTGCACAGAGGGAAGGAACCATGGATTCCATGATAATGACACTTGTGCCAGCTTTTGTGTTTCCAGAAGTATTGAAAATATAAGGGAACCACCACGTGTAGAATATGTGAAGTCTAACAGAGACGAGTTCCTAAGGTATTTGTTTTGACAAATCACGTTGCAAGTAATGTGAAAGCAGTTTGGATAAAAAATGTCCCCATCTAATGCCGCATTAGGGCATGCATTTCTATAGCCTAAATCTGTTGGTGACATAAAAATATATGTTTTGTTGGACACATAATAGTTTGAACACATAATAGGTTCTAGAATGGATCTGCATAAAGTAAGAAGAAAGGATATAAAGGTAGAAGAATAAATGTTACAACGGAACACTGAGCTGGGTGGCTCTTCACCATGGACCTTGCTCATATTTCTCACTACAGGCTTTCTCTGAGCTAACTTCCAAGTTCTCTCTTTCCCCTTCCAAACTTACCTGTATGTAATCTTGCTCCCAGGCCACCTGACTGATTTTTGATGCCTGGAGATTTGCTTCCACCTCGTCATGACCAAGCCTTAGCCAAGTCACTGTTTACTCAGTTACAACATTTGTCCCCTGCTGAGGCCTGTCATAGATTTCATAGGTCACAAACAGTCCAGCTTAAATCTAACCTTCTCTTTGGTCATTCGGAGTAGCAAGAAGCATTGTGTTTTGGATTTACTGCAGAACTCACACACTTAAATGTACAGAGTCAGTTTTTATAGCTATCACTGCATCCAGATTGGGCAGTGACCTTGGCTGAGACATCCTTTACTTCTGTTTCAGATCAATTTAGCCAGCATATAAAATCTCTGTGCACTGCCAGGGGAAAGTAAAGTGAAAGACTGCATGAAGAAATGGAGAAGAGCCAAATAGTTGACCATGGTTGCTGTATAAATCTTGGACCCAGGGCTAAAAGGTGGCAATATAAATGCAGATGGTTCTGCTGCCATATTTTCCTGGCACACCTTTAAGCAGCACATTTCAAGCCTGCAGGTTTGGAATGGCATTTCCAAATATAGACTCAAAAAATCCTCAGGTGTTTGATTCTAGAATAGAGCTGGAAATTCTGTCCTGCAAATGCCTTCTGTAGCATGGGAGAAAACCCACTCTTCTGTGTCTCTTGCTTCAAACTCTCTATTTTCTGGAAACTAGAGAAAGATGTGGGCCTATATTGAAAGATATGCCTTGAACAAGAATTATGCACCTATCGAAAACTTGTACATTGAGTAAACTCTCTGTTTACAGGAATCTATGGAAATATCAAAACATCAGTAACTATAGAGGTCATTAACTAAGGAGATAACCTGAAAAATAAAGTTCTATTTGCTAAAAACTGTATCTGATTAGTTTGGACTTCTTTTTCCTATCCCTTTCCTGTTTTATATTTATATTTTTCTTCTAAAATTAAGTGATCGTTCACTATCTAATTTGTATTGTGGAAAATGTCCAATTCTAGACATTAGGATGGCTTTTCTTATTTGAGTCACATGCTAGAGGCAGCATGGTTTTGTGGAGAGAGCTCTACCTTTGGGGTCCGGCTCTTAGCTTTGGTGTTAACCCCAGGCATCTTTGTCCTCATCATGATACCTCTCTGGGCCTCTCCTTATATTTGTAAAATGAGGGGGGCTCTCTGAAGTATCCTTCTGGCTATAAAATCTGTCAGCTCTTATTGTTGAAGTTTTCTTCTGTTCAGAGTTTCTAGGTTTCTCATAAACTGAGGATTCAGAGGTCAGGAGGAATGGAAACTTGTTATTCCATTTGTAACATTGTTAGAAGTTTTAAATGCAAAGACAAGTAATTAATTTGTCATCATTGCTTGAATATATTATACTTTAAAATACTGAATTATAAAATGCAATATTTGGAAAAATGAATTTGTTATGAAAAATAAATGTTGCTGCTTGTCTAAAATTTTTTAGGACCCCTCAAATTATTGCCTATAGTGGCAGTTATCAGCCCTGGCTGTGCATTAGCATCTCTTAGAAGCCTTTCAAATACTGCCCTCCCACCGTCAGAAGTTTTCATCTAATTTGTCTGGTGTGGGGCCTGGGTACCAGTATTTTTTAAAAGACAAGATTAAGAATAAAATACATTCAGTTCCCAAGGCTGATGTATGCATGGCTCCCATGCATGGCTCATACCTACCCACCTTCCATAGCAACCATGTGTGGTCCCCTCCAACGTGCTGTCATGTTTCACACATGTCATTTCACACCACTCCATCTTTGCATCTCCTGTTGTAGCCTGGAATGCCATGCCCCAAGAAGCTTAGCCTTTCTTGAGCCCCTCCCTACAGTATAGATTTTTTTATTAGCATAGCTCCTGTACTGTAATGGCCTGCCTTGCACTCATTCTTCCTGTATTGTAAATATTTTATCCACCATTGTATATATTTATAGTCTAACATTTGGTCATGTCTCTTGTGCTTCATGCCCCCCCCGCCGCCCAAGTGCTTTCACACATGATCTCTTTCTCATGGGCCTCTCCCTGCACCATGGCCTCTTTCTCAAGCCTCTCTTCCTACCACTTCCTGCTTGTTCACTTTACTTCAGCCTTACAAGCCTCTTGACCCTCTAACATGCCATAGTTTTCCTCATCTCAGAACCTTTGCACATGCGATTCCTCTGCCTGGGGTGTCTTCCTCTGCTCATCCTCCCATTTGCCTCCTCCTCAGCATTCAGGCCCTCACTCAAATGCCATCTCCTCAAAGTGGCCTTTCTTAATCACGCTAGCTAGAGTAGCCTGTCCCCCACCCTACCATCCCAGCGTTACTCCCCATCCTACTGCTTCTGTGTTCTTTGTAGGACTTGTATCTCAAGTAATATTGTTGTTTTGTATACATGATTTTTGTAAGTCTCCCATTACTAGAATGTAAGTTTTATGAAGATAGGGACTTTGTCCAGTGGGGGTTTAACAAATATTGAACAGATGTAGGTTGTCTCCCTTAATGAGATAGTGCAATACCTAGTGTAGTGATTGGGAAGATGGTATTCATTAAGTGCTTCATGAATGATGTTTCTTAGATGTTTCTCCTTCAGAAGTAGGACCTCTAAAGAGCTCCAAATGATACTCAAAATATTAGGCTGATTTACATTTACATTTTCTTAATTTTTAGTTTAAAAAAGAGCAAATAAATGTTTTTTTCTTTTTATAGTAAAATTTTATATGTCTCTCCCTAATTTAAAAATCTCTATTTCTAGGACCCACACCTATGGAGACTCCCTCTTTCCAGGAGTCTGTTCAGAAAACAACAAAGGGAAAGGGATTCCTCTGGAAATCAGTTTTGCCTAGGAGTCCCAAATTTTAACTGACACCACTGCTCTGAGCCAATGTGAGAGGAAACAGATTTTTTTTTGAACATCTAAATTTGGAGAGCCCAGCGTGGTTGTTCACACCTGTAATCCCAGCACTTTGGGACGCCGAGGCGGGGCAGATCATTGGAGGCCAGGAGTTTGAGACCAGCCTAGCCAACATGGTGAAACCCCGTCTCTACTTAAAAGAAAAAATACAAGGCTAGGCGTGGTGGCTCACACCTGTAATCCTAGCACTTTGGGGGGCCAAGGTGGGTAGATCATGAGGTCAAGAGATTGAGACCATCCTGGCCAACATGGTGAAATCCCATTTCTACTAAAGATACAAAAATTAGCTGGGCATGGTGGTGTGCACCTGTAGTCCCAGTTACACAGGAGGCTGAGGCAGGAGAATCGCTTGAACCCAGGAGGCAGAGGTTGCAGTCAGCCAATATCGCTTCACTGCACTGTAGCCTGGCGACAGAGCAAGACTCCATCTCAAAAGAAAAAAAAGAAAAGAAAAAATACAAAATTAGCCAGGTGTGGTGGTGTGTGCCTGCAATCACAGCTACTTGTGAGGCTGAGACAGGAGAATTGCTTGAATCTGGGAGGTGGAGGTTGCAGTGAGCCAAGATCATGCCACTGTACTCCAGCCTGGGCGAGAGAGCAAGAATCCATCTCAAAAAATAAAAATAAAAAAATAACAAATCTGAGGGCTTTCCAAGTAGGTGATGGGACAGGTGAAGATGGAGAGTGGTAAGATCAAGAGTGAACCCTGTGTCCTTGCAGAGCTCTGCCTGAGCGACTGGACCCAGGACTCCCTTAGATCCCTGCACTTTACTACTGACCTGTGGCTCCCATGAAATGGTAAGCAGGAGACTCTGGTTGCTAGTCATGGTGGTGACATTTCTAATTCCTTCTTCCCAGCTTTGCTCTTGCCTTGGGATACCTACAGGTAGAGAATGATTGGGAAAGTTGTCAGAAACGTTGGGAGCAAGTATGGAACAGCACTGAACTCTCTAGAGAACACAGGATCTCTAAGATATAACCTGAGGAGAAAGACGTAGCAAGCCTGTTTTCCCATATATGAAATAAAGGGGTTGAGCTAGATGGTCTTTAGTGGCTTCTCTGTTTCCAACCTGTAATCTGTAAGAGTTTGTAAGCATTTTGTTATTGAAGTGATCAGCATTCAAACTGTAGGCAAAAGTTGTTTTCATTTTGTAATTCTTTCAGCACAGATAACAGATATTCTCTTTGTAAAATTGCATTACTCTCTTTGTGGACACTGTGTATCCAATTGAGGTAGTAAATTACTATTGCAGCAAAGTCTGGTTGGGATGCTGTAGAGTGCATTCTCCCATAGAGTAGCCAATAGTCACATGTGGCTGTTGACATTAAAACTAGTTAAAATTAAAAATTCAATTTCCCAATCATATTAGCTACATTTCAAGTGATCAAAGTGCACATATCTTCTCTTTCCAGTTCAGTTCTCAATTGGACAGAGCAGATGTGTGCATTTCCATCATCACAGGAAGTTCTTCTGTGCAGTACTGGGTTAGAGTGCACCCCTGCCCTTAGGTAAGAGTTGTATATTTAGGGAGCTGCTAAGGACCCACCAATCTCTAAGGCTGAGTGATTCTGTGGCTTTGTGTTGGGAAGACCATATTCCTGCTCTTTCTTTGCTGAAAAGGTTTTTGGTTTCCAAAAGTGCTGAGGCTGGTGGAGAGGTACAAAACAACTGCAGGGAGTTCCTTTCTGCCTGAGGAGATCATCATTCACCTCAAGAATTGCAGTGAGAATAAGAGATTATAAAATGATACTGAAAAGCCCTTTAAAAAGTTGAAGAGTTACATGAATATAAGGCAAGATGATTGTTAAGTGAATGCATTAAATATAAAACACAGCTTGCTCCTGGACCCTCCTTGACTTCCATCTCTCTAAGCCAATCAAAATGAAGTTGGAAGTGGTGGGGTTTGGTTGCCCTTGGCAACTAATTCTCTACTTTGTCCAAACTCTGGCAACCTGGGTTAGGGAAACTATGAGAAAGTTCAGGACAGAGCAAGCAGCATTGGCTTCTGCTGGTTTGAGTCATATTTACCTTGGCTTTAAGGGAGTCCCCAGAATGCTGGTGAGAGTCATTGGGATGGCCTGGATCAGCAGCTCAGCCTAGTTGAAAAACTATTGGATTCTCCCTGGGGAGAGGCTCAGTGGTACCACTGTCTTTCCCAGATGAAGTGCATAGAAGAGATGACTCTACCCTCTCTGCATATCTCTTGGCCAGCTTTCCCTCTGCTTCCTTTCATGTCTTTGCATCATAGTTTTAACTCCTGTTGTGACAACATATTATGTTAAATATTGTAGAAAAGGCACCAAATGTGATAACTACAGCCACATGCCTCAGATCTGAATTACATCTCAGTGAACCTCTCATGGAAGAGGACACTGGGAATGATTTGGAAGGCATTTCCTTGTGTCTTTATTGTCAACACTACCTCCAGGCACATGGCACTGTTCTGGGAGCTGTAGGAACCAGTAAAAGGCACATGACTTAGACAAACACCCAAACACAGGCTAGAGTATATACTAAGCACAACTCTAAATGTTGACTCCAGTGGAAAGACACGGGATTTGAGTCACATGGACCTTGATCTAAATCCTCTTTATTGACTTTGATGTCTTGGGCTCTATAAGCCTCTGTTTACTCATGTAAACTGGAAATAATAATGTCTTACCCACAGGGACGTTCTAGGAATGAATGATGAACACATATGTAAAGGACTGCATGGAAGGCTTTGCACATTGAGGCACATAACAAATTATTTCCTTTCCCTTTCTGAGGGATCAGTGCTGTGATGTGGAGGGGAATGATGGAGTGACTATGGAGAGTCTATGCTTAGAGAATGGAAACTACAGCATTTTACCAAGTTTGTTGGCTCTCTGGTGGTTTGGATAATAGGGTAGGGAGGGGGTGGATTTGGCTTAAGGGTCAGGGAGGTTCTCCCTATAGGATAAGTGGTCACAGGAATGAAATTGCCTGTCTCTCTTTAATCCTGAGTCAGTGGTTGATGTTTTGGTAGCTTTAGCTTCTCTTCAGCTGTGGGCTCTAGCTGCACAGGGGTTGATACTTGTGGGAAATTTGCAACCACTGGTGCAGTGGGATCCCAGGGATTGACAGAGGGGCAGTGTATGTACTTCAGGGAAAGGGAAGGAGGATCCCCTGGTGCCTCATGTCCAGTGAAATGTTGTTCCAATCAATGGCATTGATTGGTCTCTGATGGAGATGTAGTTTTATTAGTTCACATTCCTATTTCACTATAGAATGTGACTGTATGTGTTTGTGAGAGAGACACAGGGAAGGAGTTATGATCGACAGTGGACAATAGGGGAATAGTCAGGGGAAGAGAAAGGGGACAGTTTTCTCTGGGACTCTCAGTTGGCCTGAACATGGGAGCAGTGACTTGCTGGAGTGGGATTAAAGAAATTAGGGTTACAGGGTTTTTTCCACTAAAACTAGAGAAGGAAGTAAGATTAGTCCGAATGTAGGATCAATGTTTTGAATACAAGGGGCAGATGCCCAATGTTAGATATGAGAATCTAAGGTGGAGAGAAGGGCTAGCTTGGTTGAAACTCAACCAAGAGAATTTCAGAGTTCTTTTCTCAGAAAATACCTTGGAAATGCTTTAGTTAGCTGTAGATGTACTTAGGATGTGTGATAAAAAACAAAAACAATAACACAGGGACCCAGTCCATCACTCTGGTCCCTTACCAACCACATCAAGGCTTCTAGATATGGCTTTACCCCAAGG